GGAAAAAAAAAAATGTTTGTTTCATTTTGCAATGCAGAATAATGACTGAGAACTTTAAAATATATGCTGCAACATCTTTAGCATTCTGTAAGAAAAAGTTCTGCAGTAGAAGGTAGTGTGGAATTTCTAATCTCTAAAATACCAGCTTAGGTACCTAAGCTGGGACTGCGTTTCAGAAGTTATTTAGCATGTGCTCAGATTTTTAGAGTTCCTATTGCATACTTATAACTTTCTTTTTATACTGATTCCAAAATTAGATGCATTAAAAAAAAATTGCCATCATCTTATTCTAGCTCAGTCTGGAATAAGCCAGCCTTCCCTGTGGTCTCTTTATCAGCCTGGCTGTCTGAGTTAGATTAAGAGCCAGTTATTGTCTGGTGCAGCGCTAGTTTGCTGTTGCAGATGATTAGTTAAAGTTCTGTAGGTCAGCTGGCCTTCAGCCTGAGCATTCTCTAATTTTCCATCATCTATTACAGAATTGAAGAGACATGGCGGCTATGGCAAAAGTTTTTGGATGACTACTCTAGATTTGAAGACTGGCTAAAAGCCTCTGAGAGGACAGCTGCTTTACCGAGCTCCTCTGGTGTGCTTTACACGGTTGCTAAGGAAGAACTGAAGAAATTTGAGGTGACTTATAGTAGTCAAAATTTAGTATCTACTGATCACATTACAGCAGGCAGCTGGTGTTCTTCCTTCCCATACACAAGTCACTCAGCAGAGACACTGTATTAATATAGTGGAGTTGATGATTTTGTAGCTGCCTTCCGTGGCAGGTTTCTAGGATGAAGAAACAGTGGAACGTGGCAACCAAAAATGCTAATAAATCAATCCGCTCTCACTTGCTGTTTGTTCACCAAAGTTAGATTTTTCACCTTTTTTATTTCTGCAACTTCTTAGTATGTCCAGTCAGTAGGTGCTCCAGAGCATTCATAAATCTCCCTTCACCAAGTACCTCTTCAAATGCATGCTGCATGTTTTAGCTTTTGCTTTTATTTTATCCCTCCTCTTCTTTCTGTAACTCTCTGAAATCAACCCTCTGAACCCTTTTCCTGTTTTGTACAATGTACAATATCCCCATGTCAGATCCTTATACCTGAAATTCATGTTCGTGCAAGTATTGTTATATGTCCACATGGTGTCCCCCATGACTTAAAAGTTAAGTGCACGCTTCAAAACTGACAAGCTGTCACTTCAGTCAATGCTTAAGAGCTTGTCACATAACTCTGTTCTGTCTACTACAATGTGATGGCTTGTCTTGTAACTACAACAGAGTGTATACCTGTGTGTAAAGCACACACACACACATCGTGTAGCTAGTCACAGGTGAAAATCTTTTGCTCGGTTTCATATTTGCAAGGAGTATATCAAGATGAGAGAGAAAAATAATTCTGAAGAAAGAGAACAAATTGTTTAGGCAATTCTGTAAACAGTCAGGTGCTGTAAAGTATTTGCTGTGAAGAAGAAATGCAAATTTTAAACAACGTCTAAGACCAGTTAATACTTCTTGGTTTAACAATTAATTCAAAAACATAAACTGTGAAGCGCTGATTCAAATTTTATAATTGACATTCACATTTCTGAATGTACTGGCCAGGTCTTGTTGTTAAACACTGCCAGACTTCATTATGGTGAGGTAGGTTGCCATAGTATAAAAATGTTTGCTTCCTGGACACAATACTCTTGTCTCAGACCTCCTTCCCATTGTCCCTTTATTCAGTGATCAGGATCTAAATCTCTTATTTAGTGAGTCTCTCTATGAGAAGCAGTACCAAAAATATCTGGGCTGTCTTTGATTTTTACAGCTGATCTGACTTTGCCCAAAGTCTTTCACTGAACCTCAGCCTTTATGGTGACCTTCCCTCTCCTGCAGACTTGTGGAATTTTTACTGTCTACAGAGTGTCAGCAGGAATTAGCTGCGAAGAGAAGACTTCAGCAGCCTCTCCAGAAGCCTGCTTTCCCTGCAGTTTGGTTCTTCCTCTTTTTTTCTTCTTTTTTTTTCTGAGCACCTAGTTTCTACACCTACCAAAAGCAGGAATGGAAGCGACAAAAGTTGTGGTGTTCAAATTCAGCGGAATTCAGCAACTTCACTGTGAAGTCAGTATAAAGTCAGCCACATATACATACTAACTGAAGCAGGTTTCTGCTTTAACTAGGCTTTTTTTTTCTGATTTTATTTTCCCCTCCATATCTGCAGTTGAATTTAAAAACAAAAACAAAGAAACAAAAAACAGCCCAGCAGAGCATGTAAGAACCCTTCAGTTCCTGAGCACAGAGGCCAGAGATGGCTCTCACTGACTTCACTGTACAGAATCAAACTCCTTCCTCTCCAGTAGTTTGTGGAGAAATGAAAAGAGGTTACAGGAAGGAATGCAACAGTTGAATTCTTGTGTAGCTGAGCTGAAAAAATGGAAGACAAATACACAGCTGTTCTTTTGCTGGACAAGGCTTGGTAACAGGTGAAACAACAACTGCACACTTTTAGATTTCATGATCCTAGTACATATAGTCAGATTTGTGCCTCTGATATAAGAATTGCCTCCTAGTGCAATTTTAAGTGAATTCAGTTCTACTGAGCATTTCACTCCAGTTGCAAGCCCATTTTCTCCTTGTTAGTTGTCCCCTACCCAATTTGATGGCCATTTAATGAAGGGAATAGTTATACTGAGAGGACTATACAGACTTTGATCTTTTTTCAAACCAGCTTCTTTACTTTTGTCTCTGGTATTGCAGCAGAAATGTGCTTATTTTCATTTTTTGACTGGTACAATATGAAGAGTATATATTGTTTATGTCGAAATCTCATGTGTTAGGTGATTTTAATGACAATTTCTGTACAGAAGTGTATTACCTATCACACTTCTCCAGTCCTTAGTAAAGGTGGTGTCTAGTTTTGGGAGAGATTGAATGTTTATTTACATAGTGAGGAATACCAGAGAGCAAGTTTTTAGAACTACAATGGCAGCCAAAACCTACGTGTATTCAAAAGAGAGCTGGTGTAGTCTGTTTTTAAGTCTTTCTTTGATTGATTGCTTTTCTGTGACAACAAAAAAATGAGTAGTTTTTTTGAAAATTATTCTTTTTTTAAATTTTGTTTTATTTTTGAAGGGATTAATTCAGTCAGCTCCTTACAAGGTGCTTTCTCCAACTTGCTTTGTGATTGCTAGTCACAACATGAAACTCATGGGCTAAGTCACCTACTGTTCCTGCTCCCCAGCTGGGTGGCTGAGGCTGTTGTAACAGTAGAGGAAGCACTGAAAGTACATGGTGCAGACACTTGCCCAGGCATAAGTTGGTATGGATGTTCATGAAGTTTTCTTACAAAACTTACTTGTTGTCTTGGTTTCGGCTGGGATAGAGTTAATTTCCTTCCTAGTAGCTGGTACAGTGCTGTGTTTTGGATTTAGGATGAGAATGATGTTGATAACACACCGATGTTTTAGTTGTTGCTGAGCAGTGCTTACACTAGTCAAGGACTTTCCAGCTTTTCGTGCCCTGCCAGCCAGAAGCTGGGAGGGGGCACAGCCAGGACAGCTGACCCAAACTGGCCCAAGGGATATTCCATACCATGTGACGTCATGCTCAGTATATAAAGCTGGGGGACTGCTCGGGACTGGCTGGGCATCGGTCAGCAGGTGGTGAGCAATTGCATTGGGCATCACTTATTTTGTATATTCTTTTATCGTCGCTGTTGTTGTTATTATTATTATTTTCCCTTCCTTTTCTGTCCTATTAAACTGTCTTTATCTCAACTCACGAATTTTACTCGTTCTTTTTTTTTCCCCCCAATTCTCTCCCCCATCCCACTGCGGGGGTGGGGAGTGAGCGAACAGCTGTGTGGTGTTTAGCTGCCTGCCGGGTTAAACCACAACACTTGTATACCAGTATACTGAAGATAGAGAGATGATTCCTTCAGTACCGTTTTTCACTATTTTTGGTAAAACTCAGAATAAACAATTGCTCAAATCTTTTCAATGTTTGCACTTCAGCAAATTCAGTATGTGTAAGGAAATCCAATGAAGCCACAGGAATCTTGGATTTCTGTTCATTTTTTAAAAAAATGTTTCATATTCATTGTTTGTGTTTCTGTTCTCAAATACAAAGGCATATGATTGAGTAGAAAGGGGAGTCTATTTTTTTGTGCTGATTTTGCCATTGTAACGGGTATTCATGTTGCAATTTCTCATTCAGTGATCTATGTTAGTTTTGTAAACTTTTTTCTTTTTTTTGCTCATTTTAATCAGAAGGCAGCCTCTCAATAGGATAGCCCTCAGGAGATATCTGCATCCATAGCGAAATCTGTCAGCTAATACAGGTCAGAGTGTAGAAGTAGGGTCAAAATAAAGGGAGAGATTTATATATGTATCCTGATTCCAATAATTAAAAATTTGATGGTGTCTTTTGTTCATATTGCTTTAGGCCTTCCAGAGACAAGTGCATGAATGTCTGACTCAGCTGGAACTGATCAATAAACAGTATCGCCGCCTGGCCCGAGAGAACCGCACTGACTCTGACTGCACCCTCAAGCAGATGGTTCATGAGGGGAACCAGAGATGGGACAACTTACAAAAGCGAGTTACCTCCATCCTGCGCAGGCTAAAAGTATTTTTGCAGTTTTAAGCCCTTCAGTTTCACTACTATACTTATGAATCGGGGGTACTCCAGAAACTTCCAGTTTAATGCATTTGCACAGTGTTTTTGAGGGGATTTCTACCTTTGGAAGAGGAAGGGAACTTACTGGTTCACTTTGTCTGAGGTAACCAAAGCATGAAGTCTGTAGGGAAATGCTTGGTGACCTCAAACACCACCTCCTTCATAGAAGATAACTTTCATAGGTCAGCTAATTGCAGCTGTAGATGATGTTACTGAAAAGGGAACCTTAGAAAGCATGTAGGAAATGAAAGAAGAAGGTGTACTGAGTTTAGGTTAGGTTTGAAGGGCACGAAAGCTGTTTCTTTGGAGAGCCACTGTTTCTGGGTTTTTTTGGGTTGTTTGGTCATTTCATGCCACTCCATTTTCTATCCCCCAGCATTTTATTGGCCAGCGTGAGGAGTTTGAGACAGCACGTGATAGCATCCTGGTATGGCTAACAGAGATGGACCTGCAGCTGACCAACATTGAGCATTTCTCAGAGTGTGATGTCCAAGCAAAGATAAAGCAACTTAAGGTAAAGAATGATTGAATGGTTACAGAAGGAGGGATGAGAGACGGAATAAAAACATTCATGGTGGGAAAAGAATTTAAGAAACGTTATGCAAAAATGCAGCCTGATACAGTCCCTTACTTGCAGGCTGAGATTTCAGCCTCAGAAGTTATGGGCTATGTCAGGTTTCGATACATACTTCTCTGCCAGAGTGGAAGACCTTTGCGCTGTGAAAAATTTTCAAAAAAACAAGGGTGAAAGTCTCCATTCCCTAATCAAAAGAGGAAATGTCGATTAAAAATTATTAATGTTGTCTCCATTATTGCTGACACCTAAGAATTACTACATTTGTCAACCATTTCTGCATCAGAAAAATCATTATCTGGAGAGAAAAATACCAAATGTCATGTTATCCAAAATTCCAGTGTGTTAGCTTTTAGCATCTGTGTTCATTCTAGACGTTTGGTCATGGGCATGGCTTGTTTAGAGAAGAGCTTTCTTTCCAAGTACAACAAGTGAGGAATGAGATGGTAAACCATGAAGTATCACTGTTTTTGGCTAAAAAGGCTGTGGAACGCTAAATTTAATTGCTCATTGTTGCTCACGCCAGTGTATTTGGAATGATCCCTGTTTGTTACCCACACCATTCTTGCTGAAAAACTCTAAGACTTGCATCCATAATAACGTAGATTGTTGTAATGTTGATTTCATTGATAAAGCATGGGCTTTTCTTTCACACAGGCTTTCCAGCAAGAAATTTCACTGAACAACAACAAAATTGAGCAGATAATTGTGCAGGGTGAGCAACTCATTGAGAAAAGTGAGCCCATGGATGCAGCTCTCATTGAAGAAGAACTAGATGAGCTGCGTCGTTACTGCCAAGAGGTCTTTGGACGTGTGGAACGCTATCACAAGAAACTCATCCGCCTTCCTGTGTGTATACTTACATACATACATATGTATTTGTTTGGTTTGTTGCCATTTTACAAGTGTGAGAATGAGGAGAGAGAAAGATGTTGAAATGAACTAGCATGAAACTTCTGTAACTTTCCAAAAATCCTGTGGTTTAATTTTGTTACAACCCTGACCATCTGCCTCCCTTCATTATATGCTATTTATGTCCTGTTCAGAGAGCAAACTCACCGGATCTGGAATTTTTGTAAATCATCATGAAAATCCATGCAAATTGGAGATTTATAAAACTTTATTAATGGGGGTAGCAGTGTGGTACTGGTAATAAGAACATCTCCCTGCTCTGTCAGATAGTTTAATTGGCAGCTTATTGAGTTCTGTTTTGTTTAAAAAGCAATGATAAAATGATTCTCCCCATCAGAAGAGACAGAAATTGGTCTCCAGAACTGAACACACAGCTGAATAAGTGAGAGCAAAACAATTTTTGGTAGCTCAAGTCCTACTGAAGGAAAGGAACAAAACCCAGGATTTTTAAAATATGAAAGAATATAATGAAAGCAATGGTCATGATAAAAGTCGCTTATGCTTCCTATGACTTGATTCCAGAGTTTTCTTTAACTTGATGTCTGCATTGCAGTGGCATCAGTAAAAAGTCTGGAGACATTTGCTTGATGTGAGACTTTGTGGTACCTTAAGTAATTAAAATGAGCTGGCATTATGAACTTTTTTGTTGCTTTGGTTTTTTAGTGCACCTTAAAATAAGGAAAGGGAAGTGCAAAAGAATGCAAAATGGAAACCCCATCGATGTGACTGTTGCCTAATGCTACTTTATTTCACTGACCCAGGCTGACCATGCAGTGCCTCTGCACATTTCATTGATTGGTTCTGTTTGCATTATGCTTCTAGCTGACAGATGACGAACACGACCTCTCTGACAGAGAGGTGGATCTGGATGAATCAGCAGATCTCTCTGACATACACTGGCATGACAAATCTGCGGACAGCATTCTCTCCCCGCACCCCTCTTCCAACCTTTCGCTGCCTCTTTCTCAGCCGGTGAGAAGCGAGCGATCAGGGCGAGATACCCCTGCGAGCGTGGACTCCATTCCCCTGGAGTGGGATCATGACTACGACCTTAGCAGAGACCTGGAGACAGCTGTTTCACGGGCACTGCACTCTGAGGAAGAAGACGGAGGACAAGAGAAGGACTTCTACCTGAGAGGAGCAGCTGGTATAGCAGGTATGGTGGCAAATTGTGTGTCCTATTCTCTCCTAGTATAAAGAAGCAAATGTTACATGTGTGGTTGCTTGGCCAAGATGCTCATGGAAAAGTATTTTAAATAGCCCCTGAAGATTTTAAATAGCTTTCCCTAAGTGATCCCAGTGGCCTTCTGGCCTTAGACACAGCGATGGAGATTCCTGGATGACTACAGCCTTGGAAAATCACAGAGGTGTATATGATATGACAGGAAATTGGCTGTGTCTCTATGCTTGTGGCCTGCCAGATGGCATATGTCATCTGTAACAGCAGTGCATCATAAGTTATTCTGACTAGAAGAAACTATACTGGATATGGCAAGAAGTGCAGAACAAACTGATGAAGAAATGCTGTTGGAGAGATCTGCAGACAAAATCATCAAGTGCTTAAGTAAATCTTAACTCAGTCCTCACCCAGGCAAGACTCCAGCAAGTGAGTATTTAGCCTGAGGTGGGATCTTGGGTGTTGCTCTCCAGTCAAGTTAGAAATCCTTTCTAAGTGTGTGTGCTTTGTGTAATAAATCTTAATGAGTGAAAGTGCCCAAATGCAGCCAGTTGTGTGGGAAGACATACTGGTATAATATACTCTGATCTCGTGGCTGTCTTTTGCTTTCCAGGTCATTGCTCTGAAAAGAGTCAGGTTTGCCTATCCAGGCATTAAGAGACTTTGTAGCAGGCTCCCTGTGTTTCGGTCTTCATCTTTTTTTCCTTCTCCAGAAAGGATGTTTGCTATTGGAACCGTTTATATATTCCATCCCGTGAAAAGGACTCCTGCTGTGAGGAGACAGCCATTGCTGAGCTGTCAATTTAGACTGTGCTTTTATTTTTTCAGATGTAGAGATCCCTGAAACTCTTGAGGCCTATGTAACACTCACAGAAAACGCACTCAAAAATATCTCTGGTAGGCATCAAAAAAGACTAAGCGTAGCCAGATGCAAATACCATGGTGCGCAAGCATAACTTCTTTCTCGTCTCTTAGCATCTGCTATACTTTTCACAACTTACAAGATAAATATTTCTTACATGGCAGCATTGGCATCTTAATGTAGAAGTATCCTGCTTTACTACTGTGCTTAAAGGTGGATGGATGAAACAATGATTGGCCCTCCCACCTCGGCTGACTAGACTAAACTGATCAGTAGGTTACTCTGGTCTTTATTCTCTGGATTCCCTCAGCACGACTTAATACTTTGCTATGTCTCTGAGAGAAGAGTGGTTTCTACAAAGATTAAGGCAAAAGGAAAAGATATAGAGCAAAACCTAATTGTTTGGTTTTGCACTTTTTTTTTTTTTAACACAGCCACAGCTTGGATTATTACTTAGATATAAACTTTCAGGTTAGTTGTTGTTTCATGTGATAGCAATGCTAAGGTGAGGTACTGTAGTCCAATGTCTTTATCTTAGTCTCTTATATTGGAAGACAATTTTTTTTTCACGTTGTATTTTTACACAAGATTAAACCTACTGTTTCATTTGTTAGATGACTCTCTTGGAGGGATTAGGTGCACTTACAAATACCTTCTCATGATTTCACAGTTTTCCTCTTTTGAAATAATGACTTTATTTCAAATTTGAAACAGCAAACATTTAAAATCTCAGCATCTGTGGCACAGACCTCAGGTTCGCTGTCCATTTTTATTTTTTTCCCCAAATTAGTGAAATAATATTACGATTCATTAAGAGTATAAATAAAAGCAGTACACATAGAAAAATGTGTGTAGTTTTCTGACCTGTAGTAGTGAGGGAAAAGCAATATTGAGCACTTCGTTCTGTTCACTTGGGGTGAGGCGGTGTTTTGTATAAAAAAAGATTAACCATCCAAGAGGCTTCATTTTCTGTAATTAGGTGGACAGAAGGATCCCCTTCTCTATGCATGTTTTTAATTGTGTCTTTATGAATAAATTCAAACTGTCTTTGTAAACAGATGGAAATCGGGCACAGTGATAGAATATGGATAAGAGGGATCTCATGTGGTCATCTAGGCTGCAGCCTGCTTCGGATTAGAATTGGCTGTAGCTAATGCATACCACAGAATTCAGCTGACCTCTATAAGGAAAATACAAGTTAGTCCTGCCTCAAAAACGTTGGTATGAGTTCCAAACGGCTTGGATGAATACATCTTGCAGATATGTTAAGCATAATTTTTGTCAAACACTTAATTGGAAAAATACTATAAATTTTGCTGCTTAGTGTGGTTACCTAAGTCAGTCGTGGACTACTTGCTGTGGGCCTTCAAGACGTCCAGTCATCTATCGACCCTGAGAATATAATTGTAACAGTATTGCTTAGCGTTTGTATACCGCTTTTAATCTTCAAAATTGTATACAAATAGGATCCTTTCATGTAGATCGAAATTCCACTATCTTTTAGTGGAGAGAAGTAATACAAAGAGAAATGAGAAATTTTAACACGGATTTGGATCAGGAGTTTCGGATACAAAGTTTTATTTGAGAGTGTTTGTGAAAGGGAGCAAGGCATTCCTCAAAATCAGAAAGGCTAGAGCACACTTTGCCAAGAATTTTCCCCTTCAGAGAGGTGAGGAATTCTCTGAGGGAAAAAGTCACTTCAGAGTAGTTTGCAAGCCTGGTTTAAACTGTGGACTCTTTGATAGTATGCTTAGGGCAAGCATGTTCATTGGTATAGTCATCTGTCCTCTGAAGGTTGCTAACACCCTCTAATGTAACTAGTTAACAGTTCGCTTTGACATTGTACCACTCATACTGCTGCAGTCACGTTTCTCTTTTACTGTCTAATCTAGATAGTATTCCTGATATTTATTCTGCCTGGGCAAAAGATAAAAAAAACTTTGGGAAAACTTGGGTGACAGTCACTTTTTTTTGGGTTTGGTACAGGAGAACCTGGTGCCCTGGAAGCACATATCCGACAGCTGGACAAGGCCTTAGACACCAGTCGTTTCCAAATACAGCAAACAGAAAACATCATCCGCAGCAAAACACCTACAGGACCAGAGCTGGATTCCAGTTACAAAGGATATGTGCGTGTATTTTGGAGCACAAGTCGAATAAGCACTCCAAGCTTAGATTTGCTATTGAAAGAAATATAGCTGTTTCAACAAAGCAATTAAATATTACTGCTTCTCAGACTTACTCACTCATATGGTTGCTACCCTTAACCACATGCTATTGTTGTTTATGTTATTAGGGTGTTTACAATATCATCAGATTACAGGAACATGACTCTGAGGAATTTATTTTCCTATTACATTTTTGCAGATGTCCAAACGTACTTTCTCACATGTGTTTTTATCCATCTAATGAAGATATCCTTGTTTAAAATTCCTCTGCTTTTAAAAGCAGGTTTTATAGCTTCATGCACAGTATTCATCTTGCTGATGAATTATAAACGTGCATCATGTAAGCAAGGTTGCATACAGGGAATCCGTGATTAAAAAGCTTTCTCAGAGAGGTTTTCCTGAAGAAAAATCTCTAAATCATTCAAACAATTTTATTAGTGACAGAATTGAAAGATTAGCTGCTTGGATGCATAGTAATATTTCCACACTTATGTTTATTTTCTTCATCACATCTTCTAGTGTCTTTGCCATAATGTCTTAACTTTTAGAACAGATGGCACCTGAAGTCAGCCAGCACAATTTCGCACAGTGGCACTGAGTTATTTCTATTTAGTCTGAACTTATGTTTTAAGCCTTTATTGTCTCTGTATACATTTCTTTGATAGTAGCAGGACAGATTGTTAAGGTAAATAGATTTTTATCTTCACACTTAGACCTACTTTTGGAAAATTTTGGAAGTTGCATTGTAATTTGCATTTTCCACGCAATTATTCCTGTATAGTGCATATTGAGATGGGACTTTTTTTTATTTGTTAACATAGATGAAGCTACTAGGTGAGTGCAGTGGAAGCATAGACTCAGTAAAAAGGCTTGGATATAAACTGAAGGAGGAAGAAGAAAAATTATCTGGACTTATTAACCTGAACAGTACTGAAACACAAACAGCTGGTACGTAACATTTAGTTCTTTGATGGAAAGCAATTATGAAAAGTAGCAAACGTGCAAAGTTTTTCTGAATAAACACTTGGTATTATTTACTGACATATATATTTACATGACTCTGTCTGTTACCATGTTCTGTTTAACATCTCTTAATAGGAATAGTAAGGAATAGTAAGTATTCCTTGTATATGCCCTATAAAGATATTAGGCATACAAGTGCATTTTAAGAACCCTTTCATATCATAAGACATAACCCTAAGCCTTTCGGAAAGTCATTGTGGATGCAATGCATTTTTGTTGAATATTTTCTGAGGAAAAAAGGTTTCTTATATTGCTGTACAAAACACATAAGTCAGCATTCGTTTCTTCTAATATTAGCTTTCACTTCTAATATTATCTGTCTACAGTACAGAAATCTATATTCACCTGGTAGAAGTATTCACCTGACTAATTTTAAGCAACAGCTGTAGAACAGGAAGTACTGCATTGTAAAAACGTGGATTTGTTCCAGAGGCTATAAAGGCAACGTCTCCATTCTTAGCTTGGCAAGATATGTTACCCATGCAGTCTATTTGTTTTTTTTTTTTTTTTTTTAATTTTACGTTGATGGAATGATACAACTTGTCCTTCTGCCATAGCATTTCAAGATAACTAACAAGAAGAAATAGCCCCTAATTTATTTCTTCTTAGTGCAGGTATTTATCTAATGCATCAGCAGTAGCTTAGGCAAATGTAGTGAGGTGTGAGTATTAAATTGTGATAGGTACAAATACCAATGAAAATAATAATAAGTATGTGGCTAGTTAGACATATTCAGATTCCTTGTCCAGTTTGCATTTTTGCTAATTCATGATGGCTTTATACCAGCATAACCTGTTTTAGCGATCTGCATGTATCAACTGAATTCTGTTCATAGAAGTCTGACATTAGAAAGTGGTAAAATTGCCTGCTGCCTGGAATCATCCAGATTCTTCACTCTTTTTCTCCAACATCACATTCTTCAGTCTAACCTAGTTTTCAGTGTGGTGTTAGGTTTTTTTGGGGTTAGGGTTTTTTGGTTTTTCTGGAGGATTTTTTTGTCCTGCACATGATTCAACTGATGCAATTGTGTGTGTGGCAAGTGTTTTTTCTGCTTTTGTTGAATTTGGTGTTTATCTTTCCAGGTGTAATTGACCGATGGGAATTAATCCAGGCTCAAGCTCTAAGCAAGGAGCTGAGGATGAAGCAGAACCTTCAGCAATGGCAACAGTTTAACTCTGACCTTAATAGTGTTTGGGCTTGGTTGGGAGAAACTGAAGAGGACCTTGAGAAGCTCCACCACCTTGATCTCAGCACTGACATACAAACTATTGAGCTCAGAATTAAAAAACTGAAAGTGAGTTTTATTTCTCTTTTCCATGAGTTACCTTGTAAACAGAGCTGAGTGCAACAGGTATGTTGAAGAGGCTGCTAATAGTTGCAGCTGGTTTGCTCCATTCTGCACGTAGCGGGCTACTGCTGATAACTGAAATAACTGGGAAAGTGATTTTCTGAATCACCTTTTGGCAGAAAAATGTACCACTGGCATTTACTATATAATCCAAATGATTTTTTGAAATAGTAATTCTGTGCCAATTCTGTAATTCCAGAATGGACAGATAATTCCTGATGTCAGCTAAGCTGATGAAAGAAAAAAAGAAAGCCAAGTTACATCAAATCTCTTCTAGTCAAACCGGTAACAAAATAGCTACTTTAAAAGAAATGCCTCACTGGGACATATTACTTTGTGTGGAGGAAGGAGAGGGTGCCCAAAGGGGTTGTAGCCTACCCACTGCTGTCACCGGTACAACATAGGAGAAATTTGGTGTCACTTTGCAACATTCCTGTTTCTTCTTTGTCATCTCGGATGAATCAGGTTCTGAATGCTGCCTTTGTGATCTCTCCTGGATATTTTACAGCTATAAAGATCTGCAAATGTGATGGTCCACAACTTCACATTCAGTTACTAGTATCTTATAAGCTTGGGCACAAAAATGTGGGAGCCAATGTCAAAATTCACTGTGCTCCATGCTAGGAATGAGGTGGACAGATAGTAAAGACTGTTTCCGGCAGTGATCCATCTAAAGCATATTAAAGCTGATCTTCACTGGAATCCAAATATAGCTGCCATAACTACTACAAAGGTCACTGTGACATGGGGCTTTTAAGTAAATGCTGTAAAGTAGGTGGAAAAGGGGGCATTTCATAAGAATCCTGTTATCTCACCCACTCTTGGAAAGCCTATTAGTGCCCTCCAAACCAAAAGAGGTGGGGTTTCTTTTGTGGCTTCCAATGTAAACAAATCAGAGTTTTTATACACGTCCTGCTTCTATAAATTGGAGTAAGTTGTTTATACTCTTTGTATGTTTTCTTTTCCCTCAGTAAAAGCTCTTATTTTAAAATACTGTTGACAGCAGTTTTCACTTGAAAACATGTTTGTTTTTATGTTTATCAGCAAAACTGAGAAGTAAGGGCAAAAGTTTTATTGTGCGCTAAAGTACAATTGGCCTACATCTCTTTAAATTTTGTTGGGCTTGCTCTGTCTTTAAAATATCTGAAACATGAGCCAGATCTTTAAAATTCAACTATGACTTCAGGCTTTTAAGACTTTAGAAGTTTAATTGGCTTGTTCTAGTTTATGCTCACAGTAAAATTTTAGTAGATGTTAAAGAGTGAACATTTGCAGAATCACAGAGTGAGCACAGAAATCTCATATCCAGAGTAAAAAGACTGTTACAGTAAGGTACCATTCCGCAGTTGCTGAGGGCAAATCATTGCATTCTTGTGGTGCCTCCTCTACCTGGTTCTTCTGAAAGTCACATGTTTTACCGATTTCCATCCTTTCTTCCTCCATCCCACTTTGTCTTATCATCAAGGAGCTGCAGAAAGCAATTGATAACCGCAAAGCGATCATCTTATCCATCAATCTGTGCAGCTCAGAGTTCACTCAGTCTGACAGCGAAGAGAGCAAGAAGCTTCAAGAGCGCCTGTCTCAGATGAATGTGCGCTGGGACCACGTATGCAGCATGATCGAAGAGTGGCGCTGCTCATTGCAGGATGCATTAATGCAGTGCCAGGTCTGTATTGCACTTATTTTAAATTGCCAGCATCCCACATATCAAAAATGTAAACCATATCGTTATCTGGTGTGCTCATTATCCAGTCTGAAACTTGCCCATGCAAGCCAAAATACAGCTTCGGCATGTGTTTTCTGAAAGATACACCTGCACTACCTGAAGCATGTGTTTCCAGCCCAAGATTTTCTAAATTTGCCATCTCTGGAATAGTATTTTAATATACTATTCTACACTTCCTTGTAAGTTATGCTATTTAGCCAGTAGGACCTATCATAGGATAAACTAAAAACCTGAATTTGACTGGAATTTTCTGCTACGCTATTAAAATCATCACTCATCATTTGCAGGATTTCCATGAAATGAGCCATGGTTTGCTGCTTTGGTTAGAGAATATTGACAGAAGAAAAAATGAGATTGTGCCCATCAGTCCAAACCTGGACTCAGAAACGCTGCAGGATCATCACAGACTTCTAATGGTAGGGCTATAATCACCCTTTTCTTTCCCAAAACACGTCATCAGAAAAACACCTAATTGGATTTATCTTTCTCTTGAGGGTTAGCATTGTACATTGCATGCTAACACACAACTGTGGGGCCAATGTCAGTAACTAACTTTACTTTGGTAGGGAACACTATTCACTTCCGTTAGTAGCATAACTCATGATTTAAAATCTCAGGCAACTGCTAGGCTGCTGTCTATGTTCCTGTCAGATTAGAAATTTTTATTGCTTCTCTTCTCTTTCCATTTCATTAATTTCAAATGTCCAGTTTTGTGAGTTCTAGCTTTTTTTTTTTTTTAAACTTCCATTAAAAAAAATCTGGTGCTTGCCTTGGCAACAGCAAATCAGACGTGAACTGCTGGAGTCTCAGTTGAAGGTGGCGTCACTGCAATATATGTCCTGCCAATTGCTAGTCAATGCTGAAGGCAAGGACTGTCTTGAAGCCAAAGAAAAGGTGCATGTCATTGGAAACAGGCTGAAGCTCCTCTTGAAAGAGGTCACACGTCATATTAAAGACCTAGAGAAAATTCTAGACATTTCAACTAGTCAACTGGTAAGTCACGTCTTTTTATTCCTTGCTGTTTGTTGGGCACACGTTTCCCACTGTTTTGACTGTCTTTCTCTGATCAGTGCTGTTGGCTGCACTGTTTCTGTTGTTTGCAATACTTATCAAGATGGTATACATGTAGTCTTGAATATCATCAAGTAATCTTACATTTCATAATGTAAACATCTCTTTTGTGATATGGTGGGTTATTTTAATCCAGTAATTTTTTGCTGTTTGGTGTAGCAATAAGTATTGAACATCTTGGTTTGTTTATCCTGCTGTTACTGATTCAGTCAACTGGCAAAGTATGAGATAATTATTCTAGTTGCAATACTGAAAACTATAGTGTGTCAGTTGTCACTGGAAAGGAAGATAATGCTCACTCTGTTGAAGAGAAGAAAAAAAAAAAGAGCATAAATTCTGTAATAGGCTACCAAATCTGTCATAGTGCCTTCTGAGCTTTAAGCTGTACTCCAAATCTTTTCAAATTATTATGTATCTCAGGGTATTTGAGAGGGAGTTATGCATACATCTTCGCAAACAGTGGCAGGTAAAAAGTAAAGATTTCCAGTTCACTTTTGTTAACTTTTAAGTCTTGGATTAGTAGAGTGCATAAGGTGTGAGAACTCAGCTCTTCCCTCCTTCTAGTGAATTTCTGCCTGTTTAAGTAAAATCTTGGTGGTACTAACCTCTTCTTGTAATTAAAGGCCAATAAAGAGCAACTGGTTTTTCCACTGTATTGACTTTGGTGGAAAATATGTCACCTAAAGCAATTAAGTTTTAACTGCCTGTTTGCTTTTCTTTTCCTTCAGGGCTAACAGAGAAAACATGTAATGCCTTAGTCTTACAAAATTTGGTAACAAAATTTAACTGCTTTATTTTATTTGCTTTGGAAATAACTCTGCTGGGATTTCACTCAGGGGTTTTTTTTTTAGTTTGCTTACCTGAACAGCTAGTTGCTGTATTTCTGAGCTCTATTCCTTCTGAACTATAGGAGTCGTCCTCGTGGTCCTCTGCTGATGAATTAGACACATCGGGCTCAGTGAGTCCTGTATCTGGAAGAAGCACTCCAAGCCGACAGAGAACGGTAATTTCATGTAATGTATTTTTTGCCACCTCTTGGGTGGGAGCTCTAGATGTCTACAGTAGCTCTAGCCAGCTGGAAGGCCTCCCCTTCTCACTTGATAGGAAAGGAAATTGCATAAACCAAAAACAAAACACAGCTGCTCTCCCCAACCCTGCTGCATATCCCATCCTGCATGAAATCAGAAGTGGTAAATACTATCTAAAACCAGGGCTGTCAGTGTGGTTGGTTTACCATGGTATGGCATGTCGTGTCTCTTGTATTTTGCTCTAGTGATGGCAGCACCCCAAAGTCTGGTCTTGTCTGGTATAATCAGTCCTCCATTTCTGTTTGGCCTTCTCTTCAGAGCTGCTTCATCGAGAATCTCAATAAGGTTTTTTTTGTCATTTCTGATGAAGGTTGCAGATGGTCTTATTGAGAGTTTGGATGAATGGCTAAGTAGAGCTGAAGGGCATAAAACATTGTTCAAAACAGCTAGTTGCACAGGACCTAATCAATGGCTATGATGGCAACTCTGGAGTTGTCTATTTACATCGCTGGCACAAAATTCAAGAAATATAGCAATACATGCCTAGTACTTAACACTTCCATACTCTGAGCCCAAATTGGAACTGCAATTATTTTGTCTTTTTCTGCAATTCTATTGGTTGATTACTTTGCTTTTTTCCTTAGTTCTTAAAACAATCAGGTTGGTTTTGTTTTGGGTTTTTTTTCCATTTGCACTTTTTTGTAAAACCTCTGAGTTCTGTCTTGATAAATTTTACGGCTCTTGAAATTGATTTTTTTATTTATTTATTTTTCTTTTACATTCACTAGTTTCCTTTTAGATGCTAATATGAGAATGGAAAGGAATACTGGCTTTTCAAAAGGAGAAAGAATATAAAACTTAATATTTTATTTCAGAGGTCAATGCTTTTCACTTTTAAATTTAAACTTAAATAACTAGTAAAAATGCTGATATCACAGATGTAACTGGAGGATGCCTGACCATTACAGGAAATGGAGAAGTATTTTACCATAAAATCTTTGTCTAAAGAGTATGTGGAATTATAATAGTTTTCATCTTAACATTTTAATAAGCATTTGTCTCTCTCTAATTTGTTAGTGTTTATGTACGTGACTACTTTTTTTCATTTTTGTCCATAATGTGTAGCTAGGTTGTATGATTCCCTGGGGTCTGGTTTTCAAACTTCTGGTTTTTGCACCCACAATTTTGGAGACTGAAGTGATGTTGTTTAGAATTTCAGTGCCAAATACACTGATGCTAAATAAATAAATACTCATACCAAAAATACAATCAGAATTATAATCATCTAACTGCATTAAATATTCCAGCAAATACTTGTGAGTGCAGGAATGCACCTACAGTTATTTAGCCTTCAAAACTGGGGGCGGGGATGGGGGTGGAGAAGAGGCCAGACTCGTCAAAGGAGGCCCTTGGACCTTTTTTCCTTGAGAATATTAATTTTGCTGCATTTGCATTTTAAAATACCTGTATTTGCCCACATTCAACACAATAAATTTTTTTCTATTTCATATTACAAATTATTTGAGCTAAAGTCCTAGTGATTTTTTTTAAATCCAGAGCTACTGTTCATAAACGTAATGACTAAACTGTTATTTACGAGTTCACTGTGTATGTTCCAATCATTTCCATAGTCAACTAGGCGCAAAGAAAAGCCAGTTTCCTTGGTTCATGGGTATTGGTCATTTGATTTTTTTTTTTTTTTTTGTTAATGTTTCCTTTGCTGCACTTTTAATTTAGTTTCATCAGTAGCTTGTCTTTATTTGCCTGGACTGAACATTCTTCTTTCTTTACCCCCTGTTCATTGCAAACAGCCACGGGGCAAATGTAGTCTCTCACAGCCTGGACCCTCTGTCAGCAGTCCACATAGCAGGTACCTTATTCTCCTGGTTTCTGCACTCTGTTCTAGAACCCCAAGAGGATGATGGAAATTGGCCGTGATTCTTCTCCGTCCGCACCGACTCCGTCAGGCGGCCAGGACTTAAACAAGTGAAAACTTCCCTTTTGTTAATAGTTTGGCAAAAGGGGCTCTCAATTACTTCAAATTCTTTGTTAAATAGAAATACTGGCTAATCCTTGAACATCTACAGCTTTTGCTTCCCAGGAATGCCATGTAATCAACATTTATTTTTCATATGCCTGATCAGGGTGAGTGTGTGTTTACACTCATGATATTTAATGATTATTTTATTTTGGCATGATTTAACAGAAATGCTGGTAAGTTCATGGCAAACACTTTTTATCATCCTCTTTACCTCTAGATATTAAATTAAGGCAGGTAATAGGCCAATACCATATTCTAGAATTCACAAAACCCACAGATCTGGATGAGACATACTAACATCCTTTTCTTTCTTTCTTTCTTTTTTTTTTCCCCCCTGAAATGTTTTGTTCAGTTTGTGGGTTTTCAGTACTAAAGACTCAAAATGATAATCGGAATTTGAGGGTTTTGACACTTGGGGTCACTTTCTCTCCCCTCCTAAGACGACTGCAATATAACGTGCTAACACTGCCATGACACTTGCCAAGTGCTTGCATCCATGTATTGCTCTGGGAGCAGCACTGCCCCATCTCTGTCTGACCAGTAGAGAGCAGGCTTGCAGCTACAGCTTTTTGCTTTCCACCTTGTCTCCAGCAACCTGTCATCTCTGCAGCTAACAGTGCTTCTGCATTCTTTGTTGTTGTCAGTGTGATGTGTGTACCTTCACTCTTTCACTGATCAGTTCACTAGCTTCTAGAGTTACGAAGTTAAAAAAAAAAAAAAGGTAAATCAGCAGGCCAATATGTATAAAGAGGACATTTTTTGCTATTTCAGCATCTTATGCATTGCAACACCTAAAATAATCAGAAAGTATGATGAAAATATGTTTGTTCTTATAGTTAAGTCTTAAATCTCATTTGTTCTCTATATATCAAAAGTTAACGAATTCATTTTTAAAATAACTCCTGTTAAAGTGAAAGATTTGATGTTGGAAAAAAGACAACACTAGATTTCATACAGTGATTGAGCAGTAACCAAGCAGACAAAAAATACCTGAAGAATATAATTTTTTTCATGAGCAAAATCAAGGCTTTATTCAGCAAAATTATTCTCAAATATAAATGAAATAAAGACTAAAACTACTTACCACGTAGATATTTACATAAACACTTATTAAAAAAACCAGTTTACTCACAGCCACTAACTACACATATAAAGCAAAGTGGCATAGTTGCAAAACCGTGTAGCAGATAGAACAGGTAGAGTATCTTTCACTGCTTCTGCTGGCACTAAGAAGCTGCCTTATTTTTAGGGATTTTTTTTTTTTCTTTGAAACATAAGGAAACGACATAGAAAATATGTGACATGTACACTCCATCTTTCTGTCTGATGGAGAAAGAGAATTAATTTTTCCAACTCCAGTCTGCTATGAAGCTTGGCAATTTGGTTCTTATAGGAAGTGGGAAAAGGGAGGAGTGGGGCTTTACTCTGCAGCCATTAACAGCTAGGAGGAATGGAGGATGTCTTTGGCAGATCAGCATGCTTGCACTAGCCACATTGTACTCAAGAAACATATTGTGTGCACTCTTCCGCTCTCCTGTATAGTCAGACCACTTCTGCCAACCTTTTGAGAAGGTTTCTGGTTGTAGGTGCGAGCCACTGGCTCAAAGAGCAGCTAGCAGTGCTTTGCAGCTTTGAGATCAACCTCTATTCTAGCAGTGGCATTGGTGCGGCACCTTTCAGATCAAGTCTTTCCAGCACTGTTTATTAACACATCTTGTAGCAGTACAACACAATGTTCAATTTGTCATTCAGACAAGCATGGAATACAAATGAGTCACTGCTGAATAGGAAACTTAATCAAATGCGCAAGCCAGACAGGTTGTGGTTGATGTATAATGTGGTTTTAACTGATAAAGCGGTACAAGCTGTCACTGTGTTCTTTAATATTTTGACATGCCTCTGATCAGAGTACTTTATGTTTGATCTCGCACTGGATCAGCAAACCCTGTTAGAGTTTAGTATACAGGAGAACTGAAGTCAATTTTAAAAGGTTTATCACATAGAAGGTTGTGAAGGAAAGTTCATTTAAAAATTAGGGGATGTATATGACAACTGTGATATCACTTTGCCTTCCCCATTATCGCAGCAAGAAGGCAAGCATATATAGAGTGATGCTAAGCAAGGTACAAGCTTAAACTAGACATTACACTGTGGATTTAACTAAAGGCTCCTTCAAGCGGTATTAGTAATCGTGTGCTAAGTGGGAAAAGCAAGTCCAAGAAGCAACTCCTCTTTCTTCATCAGTTTAATAGAGCTGTCGTAAATGCACACCTGGATGTGTGCCTGTGGATTTTTTGAAGTGATTAAAATGTTAAAAAGATTAAAATAGTGGTTCAGTTTGCTCAGGGGTGTTTACATTGTCTCTCTTGAGCAGCTCTATTCAAGTCTTGGTGCCACAGTGCCAACCTCCATTTCCTGCTCTCCCCAAGCCTCTCCAAATGACTAGTGGATCTTTAAAGGTTGCTTGCGGTTCCTGGAGCAGACCAGGCCAGAGCACTCTCCGTGCCTTTGGCCACAAAATGGTGGTCATTGCAACGCAGTAGCTCAAACACAAGGTTTGGGCTTGGCTTGCCATGGTTCTTCTTCCAGTTATCTCCCGCATTCTTACTTAGAGCTTGTACTTGAACTTCATATTTAACTGCCTTTGAAATGGACATATTCATCTTCTTTCCAGGGTAAGCCAAATCTGAGGTTGGGGTGATGTGATGCTGAGAGCTAGGGAGAGAGTAGAAGTCAGAATGCAGCCAAACAAGGTCACTCCTAGAGAGTCTCTTAGGCCACCAAGAGGAGTCATTGCCTGCTTTTGTGGGCAGAGCATCATACCTTCTCCTTCATAACTCTAGCAACCTCCATCTTAAAAAAATTAGAATGAGTGGGAACAAAACATCTATTAGAAGGTTGTTATCAAATTTAATTTCTCTGATTATCTGGAAGTACAATAATTTCCACCTTGAATATATCCATGGTTAGATGTAGTAATTTGGTTTTGTGCCAACATTATTCCTTCCTTTACTTTAACAACTGTTCACCCTTCTTTCTGTCCATTCTGTGCTATTTTATAGAGGGTAGTTTTAGTATCTCTCAGGTTTTGTATTGGTAAGCTCAACTCTTTATTTCCTTTATAGGAGAAATACTCCCATTTTTTTCACTCCTTTAAGCTTGTGTAAGTTTGAATTCATCTCTCAGAAGTATGTTAACCAAAATGATACAAACTGTTCCAGGTGAAATCTGACTAGTGCCTTATAGAACATCATTAAAACAGCCCCTTTTCTTTTCTAGAAATCTTGAACTGAAATATGCTTTAAAATTTCTTTTGTCCCTTTTCACAGCTACTCACAAGCCACATTATTGGTTTGTGGCTATCCTGTGTCAAACAGCTCTAGATTCTCTTCATTATCTTCAGAGTGTGAACTCCCAAATTTATAGCAGAAGTTTTTATTGCTACCTTATGTAACATAATCTTAAACTCCTTGAGCTACTTCTTAAACCTATTGGATTCACCCACTTTTTTCTGTGCAAGAAGCCAATCCTATTTTGTATTTGCAAAGACTTCCAACTTCTGTCATCATACAGATGAAATTTGCTGTTATTATATTTTGTGCCATAGTCTTTTCATAAAGATATTAAATCAAGATTCATCCTTGATTAACTCCAGTAATAACATCCTACTAGCCCAGCAGTGCCTCTTTCAATGTAAGTCTGTTGTCTGCGTTCCATTAGTCACTTCCCCATTAAACTCACTTTATTTATTCCTATCAGCTTCGCTTGAATGATAAATTCTTCTGTTACAATCTTTCACGTTTACTGCAATACAGATAGATTACTTCAACCATATTTTCTTTGAAAAAAAAAAAAATTCCGTCATCTTTAAAAGAAGGTACTTGTCTGAGCTGAAATTAAAGTTCACTTTGCCCATCCAATACATAGCCTGGTAAATTAGCTTCTCCTCTCTTGAAATGCTTAGGAAAGAGTTCCAATTTCACTGACATTACAAACTCCCAAAGTAAGGGTAACTATTGCTTGCACTTCTTAGGTTAATTTATGAGATTTCTTGACATGAAGAAGCTTACTGTTGGCCAGGTCTGCAGCTGTGCCTCCCCCTTTTATCTAGTTAGTAGGAACTGTGTATGGAGCGAGTAGCAGATGGCCTTACTTCCTTCCCTCCTCAAACAGGGGCCAGTGTGACAAACAGTGGAGCAGCCAGAAGAGAGACAGCTAGAGATGCAAGCTCAAGAAAAAGAAATTACATTTTTCTCCGAAGTGGCATACAGTACTTCAGCTTTCCCTTCTCCTGCTGGAGTAAATAGGAGTTCTGGCCCTTATGAATAGTGAACCTTTTTTATTAACTATGTATATTTTTAACCATCTCTCCTTACCAAATCCATCAAACACTCTAAGCTGAGCCATTCCATTTTTCAGCCAATTACGTAGATTAGAGGTATACCTGCAATAAACACAGGCAGTACAGCACTTGAACTTTTTAGAACTCCCCCTCTGAAGATGTTTTCATAATGTTTCATTATTTGCTTGTTTAATTGTTTCCATGCAGTATTAGAAACTATTCTTCAACACCCTACTTTACTGCAGAAAAAGCGTTTTGAAAAACTTTGCCATGAACTGTTTTAATTTTTGAAAGAAAGTGTATGTTCTTTGATGAGATAAGCCATGCAGCTTACATATACCACTATTTTTCTTCTTTTTGGTAAAACACAAAGCAAAAAGTGCTGGACTGCGCTACTGAAGCCATAGGGAAAGAAAAGAAAAATTAGATGTTAACTTTGCCTGCTCCCTTTTGATTCTGCTTTTTGGAAATTCCCCTTCTGACACCCAGTGTTGCCCCACTCTGAGTCAATGAAGAAAATTCAGACTTTGCTCATTATCAGAGTAGTTACCAACCGCAGAAATATGGCCTTTTTTGATTGGGATTAACAACATTTGAACAATGAGAGCCTTGTAAATAGGTAGACTGTGCAATCAAATGCTTGGAAGGTAATTAAGCACTCCTTGTTCCCTTTGTTCCTACCTCAGTCCATTAACTTTCTGTCTTGGCATTCTCGGACAGTAGAAGTCCTGATCTAATTGAACTTTAATATGGAATGCTCTGATGCTGTTAAATGTGCCATATCCTTTCAATATGTTCTTTATAATATGTGATCTTACATTATGTGATAAGCAGCTTTCCATCCGGGCTACAATAATGTGGATTCAAACAACACGCGATCTGATGTTTTGATCATTGCTCCCTCCCCAGGAGGGATCAAGTTAATCATTTAGCATACCTGACAGTTTATGTATCTGTTGGTCATCTAAACTTTACCAAATCTGTCTGGCTTTCTTGAAGTCTTCATAGTGGGATGATACACATATATGAACAAGACAATAAAAATAATCTCAAGCATAGAAAGAATTCTTTTCTGAACACGTGGGAAGTGGACCCTTGCCAAGCCTGGCATAGTTTTGAAGACGATATTTTGGTTTTTGCATGCTTTCTCACACAGATTCAGATTTATCTGGGAGACAGGATCAAAAGGACAAGGGGAAGGCAAGGAGACACTAAGGAACCATCACCCCCTACTTGCTTTACTGGGGAGCATTTGACCTCAGCCAACAAGCCTGATCTCCTACACCTTCAAGCTGAGACTAAATCCATTCTTGACAGCATTTTTATCTCTTAAACCCTAGCAAACCATAGATTTTCTGGGGCTTCAGAATCATAGCAGCCACACGGATGTCTTAGAGCAACATGTCTAAGACAAAATTTGTGACCTAATGTCTTAACGCAAGAGTTCTTGAAGCAGAGAGCAACATGTCTAAGACAAAATTTGTGAATGCAAGAGTTCTTGAAGCAAATTATTTGAAGGCTCTAAGTTCTGCCATTTTTGGCTAGCGCTAAAATACAATACTTCCCATGCCATTTAATTGGCACACTGCGACCATCAGATTTTAACTTGCATAATCACTCTTTTCAGTCATCCACTTATCTCAAAACCTGTTGTCCGTATATTAAAGCTCTGGCAGTTTCAGTCAAAAAGGAAAATATGATATCTATGTCTTTATCCTTCATTAAAAAATAGGTTGGATATTTGTGCTTAATTTGAAGTGTCCCTTTGGAAATGTTTGCGTTAGGTCTTGCCTCTCCCATAGGCAGGTGATAGATATGTGCCATTTCAAGTCAGATCTGTAGACACGAGGGAGAAAATCACTTGGAAGGTGATGGTGTCAAGTCAGTTGAGCAAATAGATTTTAACTGCTGATTCAGTGCAAGATTCAAAAAACAACATACTGTGTAGAAAATTAGTCCCCATTGCCTGCATATGGGTGTATTTATTAATTGAAGAGCAATGTAACTGAATCTTACTGCATTATACCCTTGGGGATACTATATACATAAATGAATGTAGAAGCTTCTGCAAACCAAATGCAACTGTCATTTTAAACATGGAGGCTTCCTTTTTAGACAGTGTCCATTGACCACATGTGACAGGTATGGCCCACCTTTTATTTTCACCTTCTCTAGAGCACAGTGCTTTAAGTGGAAAGTCTTCCCCATAATTGACGAAGGGGCTTTGGGGTCACAAAGCCCATTCTATTGTGTTTTCGTTTGGTGTTTTCCTACCCAGTCTAGAAACACGGGGTCTCTCAAGAGTGTTAGGGAAATAGGATGTTCAGTGAAAAATACCTCTGCAGTTGTCAACCAAAGTCTGCACAAATTGTAAACCAGCCTTCAGGGAAGGCTAAGTGCCGGCGGGCAACCTCTGCTGCAGTAATGTTTTAGTGTATTCACCTGTCCATCCTCTTTTCTCAGGTCCACAACAGGTGGCTCAGGTTCCTCCCCTTCTGAGGCTGGGCCGGCATGGCAGCGCCCATCCTTCTTCCTCAGAGTCCTCAGAGCTGCTCTTCCACTTCAGCTCCTCTTGCTGCTCCTGATCGGGCTGGCTTGCCTGGTGCCAATGACCGAGGAGGACTACAGCTGTACCATGGCCAACAACTTTGCCCGCTCTTTCCACCCCATGCTAAAATACATGAATGGTCCGCCTCCATTATGAAGGAGACCCATGAGACAGCGGGTGATCTTGCTGGAGTGCTAGCTGGGAGGCAGGATGGTTTTAAAGGGTGACAGGATTCAGTGTGGCAGCTTTACCTACCTGCTGTAGCCACCGCTGTGTCCATATCATTCTCTGCTGGCACTCAGCTAGTAACGCATCAGTATATCAGTATCAAACTGCACAACGTATTACCTGAGTAGCATTGTTTCAATACTCGCATCCTGGGTACTAAGGAGGATGTGATGTGTGTGAGGGAAATGTCCTTCTGTCCAGCATTCTGGATCTTTTGGCCACTTTATATCCAGGTCATTGCCCTGTACTATGCATAGCCAAGGACTTGATACTGTAGGTCCTTTTCTGTGTGCTGCTCTAAATGGGCCATTAGCCAGTCTTTGTTAAATACCCTCTCAGTATCTACGGTATACAAAATAACCAATGCTAAAGAAATTTTAGAGCATTTGTAACATACAATTTTAAAGGATCTTGTATGGCAATGTATTATTCCCCGTGGTTTCTGTTTTGGGCATGGTGTTCTAACTTTTGCTTTGGATGCACAAGGTGTAAATCTGAGAAGCACTTTTTTAAGGTTTAAAAAAATGGATGTAATAAATAAGATCGTAAAAGGTTTTATGAGGAAAAATGTTGAATGTCAAGTTGAAAAACAAAGAACATATTTATGTATGTACAGTTTGCTAAGCCAAGTTTTGTTTGTATTGATTTCTTTGCATTTGTTATAGATACCATAAAATATTTTGTCTACGTGCTTTTTAATGACAACTATGGAAACCTCTAAGTTTAGAATGAGATAAGTATGGTACAAAAAAATTAGAAGACGTACATATGCTGCACTTCTAAAAAGAATTAAAAAATGCTGTAACAAATTAACGGTATTAGGTGTATGTTTGAATGGGAATATCTGGAAAACTTGACAAATGGTAAAATATATGGGAAAGTATCACGTTAAAAGTTGTGCTAATATTGAAAGCTGTCTGTATTTTGAATTAATGATTGGTTATTTCAGGTTTTTTTTCTCAAGATGCTTCTTGAAGTTCATTCTCACCTGTGTGTTGTTTCTCTGTGTGTGTGTGTGTGTGTGTTTATGTATGCACTCATGTGCAACCTTTGGCAACTGAAGTTGTATCAGTCCACACTGAAGCAGATTTTTTCCTGTGGGTGTACTGGAAACTTCTTAATATTCTCCATAGCAGCTTAATACCAAGATAGATGTCTGTGCTTCACCAATAGTTAGTCTAGTGGAATATGTCCAAAACATAAGCATAAAGAGCAGAAAAACGGAACAAATCGGAAACTCATACATTTTCCAGAAATATTGCAGAAAACTTGCAGTCTGAGCAGTGGCAGACACTTTGCCCAGCTGATCAGTCAGAACTCGACCAAAACAGGATTCTTTTCGATTTTGAAAAAATACAGAGCATGGCTTTAAGCTACTGCTCTTTAATAAGTTTGGGGTTTTTTAAGCCATGACACACAATGTGAATTTTTCCTGTGAATTAAATGTTTTTACTTATTATATATTGGCCTATGTAACAGAAATAAAAGAGCCAGAAGACAATAACAAGCACATTATTTGCTGTTACGTAGGATTACTTTTCTGGGATGTCATCATTGGAGCTGATATGAGGGAAGGGTGGTCAGAGGTAGAGTACCACAATCTGAACTCCAGCATTTGGAGGAGTCAAAATAAAGCCTCCTTTCCAGGTAAGTGTAACATTAACATTTTCCTGGAAAGGATTTTGTATGTCAGCAAAGTATCTTCAGTGTCTGAGACCCAGACTTGTACTGACACAAGTAAGCCGCCTGCTTTTCAAGGCTTAGTTTCCTTCATTGGTGTTCAGAAGTTATGCTAGGCTAGACTAGTATCCATAATCACTGATTCTGAGTAGACGAAGATAAGGAACATGCTTTTGGGGTACGAGGATGAGCTGTTACTTGCAACAGGCCTGACAGATTCCGTAAAATTGACCCCTCCTCTCTTTTCTGATATCGTTCTCTTTGGTGACATAATTTAGTCAATGGTAGTCAGTGCACCTACGCAAATAATTTGGTAGTTCGCTCAGACCTGTTAGTCCAGATCTCTGCATGCTTTAGACGTCCTTTCATCAGCCAGTCCCTGGTTTTGGTGATTAATTTTTTTGTTGAAAGATATTTTTGTTTTCTTTTAAAAGAAAACGTTGTAAAGAGTAAAAAGACTAATTTAGTGAGAAATAAGAATCTCAGCCTGACTTTGTCTCCTATTTTCCAGCCAACTATTGGTGATCTCATGGAAGTAGATGTTATCTAAAGGTTAGTAGATAGCCTGTGAGTATCAGCCTATGGAAGAGCAGTCTATTGAAAGAACCAGGCAAAAAGTCACAGGTGAGACCTATGTTTATTTCTTATAGTATTTAAAAGCTGAGGGAGAGGCAGGGAGTTTCGAAAGGAGTTGGTTATGAGGGAGAGGGGACTGCAAGGAAGAGAGTTCAGTTTGAATGATGTCAGATGCAATTAATAAAGTACTTTATCAAAAGTATTCATGGTAGCATCTGGCATGCTTTGAATTGCAACCTGACATGTAAATTTTGCCAGCTATTTTGCCACTCTGTAGCCACTGCTTCCCTTGGTTGGTTGAATGCCTTCCCCACTTCCCTGACGTCTAGGGAAGAATAGCCTGTCTTCTGCAGAAGGAAAGCAGAATTTGTACACCTCACTCAAGCTCCCAGGGGAGTTCTGGGGAGTAGTCTTTGAATTGCAACCTGACATGTAAATTGCTATTGCTATTTTGCCACTCTGTAGCCCCTGCTTCCCTTGGTTGGGCCTTCCCCCTTCCCCACTTCCCTGACGTCTAGGGAAGAATAGCCTGTCTTCTGCAGACAGAATTTGTAATTGGGGAGTTCTTGGGGTTAATCACTAAAATGAAGGGGGGGGGGGGAATGGTTCCATCTTGTTGATGATGGTCATGCCCTTTTATTTTCTCTCACCTCTTGAAATGTTCAGTCTAGGGGGTATGAGAAAGTGATGAACTGCCAGAGGAGCGGATGTTAAGCTGATTAAATAGGCAGGGGAAAACTGTTGTGAAATCATAGGAACTTTTCATAATTAATTCTTTGAATAGAGTTAGGGCTAAGGGGGAAAAGAAGTGACGATAATTGAAGGAAGTAAAGAATTCGGAAGGTCACATCATCAAGTGTCAGTAGCCCTTTTGAATTCAGCACATTTTTGGCTGATGATTACCTGCAAGGCATACATGCACTGTCTCACCTCTGCCTTGCTGATGAACTGGAGGGCAGAGTATACCTGCTATGCCTTGCTTCCTTTCAGATGTTTCAAAGCAAAGCTGCTTCTGTTCATAGCCTCAAGCTCTGAGCTCTAGCCATAGAGCTAACTATAGCTTCAACGTATTGCCTAGTAATTTGAAATAGAAGTTAGATATAGAGAACTTCCTTTTGACCCCGAGCGACCTGCTCACACTGAGCAATCCTCCCAGTAAACGGCAAACTCTCTATAATACCTGTGAAAAGGCAGTCACAGACAGTGATAGGCACACATTAGGAAAATGTCATAGACCAGAAGAATGCCTGTTTGTAAATCCTAAATCTCCCATACCTTCAAGGATAGGAATGTCAGTCTATAAGCTGATGTCTCAAGGGAATCGCAGGCAGTTTGTGCCAGCAGGTTAGAGGCTTCCTTGAGTGCCACTTCGGACTTCTTACTTTTGGGACTTTCAATCTCAACTCTGGACAGAATCAACATCTGACCGATTAAAGTGGTTTGATTCCAAAAGGAATTTCCTGGCCCTGAACCAATTCCATTATGATTTCAAATGTGATTTTGCAGAACTGGATCTTGATCCTAAAAACTGGCACAAAGAAGTCAAAACGGAAACAAATGGCCAGGCACTTCACAGGATCCTGTTAAAGCAAGCTCCATCCCAAGAGCACCACTGACTTGAAGGTCTAGCTTGAGTTGCAAACCCCAGTACGACATCAACATATGCATTGATCGCCACAGCATGAATCAGGGTAAATGGGGCAACTGTAGGGGGGGGGAAAACACACCTAGAAAGCTGTCAAGCATTGCAGCCAGTGGCACTAGTCAGCTTTGCAGCCTGGGCATCTTTCTCATCCTGGTAATGCCAAGCTGCTCTCTCTGCCTACCTCTGTCTCATCGGGATGCTGTCACAGAGGACTTGGATGTGGAGAAACTTTTTAAGAAATGCACAAGTTAAAGTCTGAGATGCCCTGTCTCTGTGCTAAGCCTGCAACCCGTCATCTACCCTTTTTCTGAAGCACCTCACCTACTTGTGTTCTGTAAATATGAGGGACTGATTTCTGGTAATGTGCCTTGAACCTTGGCTGCAAGGCATGAGGAAAGGCAGTACAGGAGCTGCAGAACTCTGGGTCTGTTTTGAAGGCACATTTTCTCTATGTTCAAGCATAGAGAAAGTAGACTCTGCATCTTTGGGGAAATCCAGTCATTACTGCATTATATTTTTCCCCATTTTCTGCTGTAGATAGATGCAGCAGCTGCTGTAGAGGTGTAATCATCCCTGCAGCTTGATGCATCTTGCAACTCTGAACCCTGCTTACTGGCCTGTAGTCACCTCGTAACTAGTGGGTGTTTAAAGGCATAATGGAAACAGGTTGCTCAGCGACTCCAGACTGTGCGGTAATATCAAGGCACTATCTCATCATGCTTATAATGATGATAGTGCAAAATGATGAGCACCATTTGCCCTGAACTTACTGCATCTGTTTGTGGAGTTTCGTTTGTGGACCATGCTTTATAAAGTCTGAAGGCAGACTGAAAAGTAATATTTAGAGATGACTGACAGTGTTAGGAGTACAAATGATCTGAAGTTGACAGAAATAGTGTGCCCTTATTCCTCACAGCTGTGAGCATAGTGATACCAATTGCCTATCCCCCACCCTGTTCCAGCAGTGATAACAGCTTCACTCTGCAACAGATCTATAGTTTCTCGCCACTGGTTTGCCACCCTTCCAGCTCCGCTGCAAATGCTGTGAACACCTGCAGACTTGCTTTCTCCTTCCTTAGAACTTTTCTCCTTCCTTAGAACTTATTGAATGAGGACAAAGCTGCTGGTATTGTCTTATGAACAGTCATCCCTGGCCTTCAGAGTCTTGTGCTATTTGTGGTTGAGAAATCTGTTTACAACTGATAGCATCTCTCAGCATGCTCATCATCATCATGTGCATCTGAGCGCATCTGTGTGCGTGTTCAAAGGCATAACAGAAACTGGTTGCTCACAGTCTCCAAACTACAGATGCTATCAGGATTTAACAAATGGAGGAGGATTCTGGAAAATAAAAGCAGAGTCAAGGAGAAGAAATGCAGATTTTTAAGCAAGAGAAGAGGAGAGCATAGATCTTCTCACTTACTTGCACTTTCTGTATTTTATCCGGTGTTTAAAGCAATGGATTGTGGAAAGGAAAAGAGCAGGAAGTGCCATAGTGAGGTTTAAGCTGAGTGGTCTGGCTATAAAATTGTTCACTCTTGCGGCCGTCAGTTGCAGAATTCATCTAAACAAGTGTTTGCTTAAGTTGAGGGGGGGTGTTGGAGGAAGGGGGTCATTTGTCTTTTGGCTTTGGGGGAAGAATGTGTGTCATATTCACAGAGTTCCCTACACAAGGGAACTAGTCTAGGTACTGGCTGGCTGGTTTTCACCTTGGCAGCAATGTTGTGAAATGCACTATAGCCAACTGAATTCTACTGTTGTTGCACTGTTTGGCCATAATTAGACCTAGAAGGACATAGATGCAAAACCTATATTTGGGAGAAGTTATGCTTGTTTTAATAATATTAAGAACGTTGAAATATTCTAAGAATATTCCACAATAAAGAAATAAATAGGAATCATTTAGAGAATTGTCTTCCCAAAAAGCAGTAGGTAAAAATCTGTGAAACAAGATAAAAGGAAATGAATAACTTCAAGCTTCAGCACTGAAGACTTGTGATAGACTAAGGCCTGGCTAAATGATAGAAATCTGAATTATATTAAATGATTGCTGTAAAAGCAGACAGGAACTGAAAGCTG